AGCCACAGAGTAAAACTACAAAGGGATGATAACGAGAGAGGCGATTCCGGGGAGACTGAATAAAGATGGGACGGCGACTGACTCGGGGGAAAGGAAGGGGGGTGAGAGAAGCGTACGACAATAAGATATATTATAGGGGTTGGCGCCGCCCGCGCCGCCGGTTTCATCCACCCCGTTTCTCGCGGCACGCATAATCGCGGCATAAGCAGAAACCTCAGAATTTACGGTGTATTTTAAATCTATCCAGTTTCAGTCACAGGCATCAATAGCGATTTAAAGAAGATTTAAAGCGACCGGAAGCTGACGGTTTTCATATAAGAATAAGAAATTTGCAAAATTTTCGCTCGCAATCATTCCAAATGCACCGGTAGATTTCCGATTGCGAGTTTCAATCGCGCAGATATTTAATATTAATGACGTTAGACGTTCCGATTTGAGAATAAACGATTGAAGAGGCCGATAAACGCGACCACGAGAAGTGACGAATGGTAAAAGTGTCGACAGCCTTTGCAAGTTCTTGCTCTACTTCTTATTGTTAGATCGATCCTTGTATACGGTAAAAAAAAAAGATTAATGCGCCATTTTTAAACGGCCGTATCTTGTCGCGAAGAAATCGGTGCACGCAACGCGTAGCGCACGCAAAGAATCGAGCAGGTACTTTCGACGAAACTTACTTAGAAATGGATTTAAGCAAAAGTAAGAGTCTCTTTGAGGAAAATGTAGAACAGAGCGGAATAACCTGCCGAGGAAAGTTGATTTTGTCAGGCAACATAACTCACTCCGTTCGCGGAGCACACAACGTTAACGGTTTAAAGTCGCTCTGAAAGCGTCTTACGACGACAAATCACAGCGACACTTGCGACATATCGACGCGACGTTCGCGAGAAAGAGAGAGAACGAGAGAGGAGAGAAACGAGATATATTGAAATCATATATAAAGGCATAATTTTGCCGGAAAGCTTGGCAAAGCATCGATATGGAAAGAAACAAAAAGCCAGTTTTGCCATCTGGACCGCCGCGCGAAAAAGGTCTCATTTTTTCGCAAACATCAGCCATTAGACATTTATATCAGTCCAGAGAGGTTTTTGCCGCGATATTTTAGATTTCACATTGATTTTTCAAAGAACAACGTTAAATCCAAAAGATGATTAAATTTTGCAGAACTTCCTCTCTTGATCTTTCATATCCCATCTAACTTCTTTCATTTTTCTTCCTCAGCCTTCACAACTTTTAAAAACCTAAGGAAAAACTGCCGATACCGTTAAACGGGTTCAACGTTGCCTCAGTGATCAATACTGCTCTAATAATAATCCATTATTGGCTAATAATCGAAACTGTGACGTTCTACTCCGAAAGTAGACGGACATTATTTCAAGCTGCAATATTAATACAGTGCCAATGATGCTTAATGGTACTCTATTTCTATGCAAAGCGAAAAAGAATCAAACACAAATTTGCACTTTTCAGTGTTATAATCTGATACTTTGTGATCTCTATTGCCGCGTAAATAATACTTAGACTATATCTTATTTTTACCTTATTTTGTATCCCAAGACATACGAGACTCGAAAAGATGCTTTTATATCTCGAATCACTTTGGCGATGTTTGTTCGCTATAAATTTTTCAAGCTTCGAGCGCGGTTAAAAATCGCCAGAACTTATTCACGCCTAAAAATGTAATATCGTAATGGCGCGTTCTCGAGGAAGCCACGAGTAAAGATTCGTACCGAAGTGAACATCAGCAAGGGAAAAGGGGGAAGAAAAGTTTCATGGAAACGATGCGAGCGAAAATCGAGACAAATTAATAGGACAATGCACATCACGAAGAATGGATATACGAGCGAATTTGTCGGACGGACGGACGTACGGACGAACGGATAGGTGAACAGGTGAAAAAATGAACGAATGAACGGAGGATGAAATGGCTCGTAGGCGAATAAATCGAAAAGGGGAAAAGATAAACGTCGCTGACGCGAAATACGAGTTGGAAAGAGAGGCGGCAGGATGCTCCAACATTTCCAAACACAAAATGGCGCGCGGCGGAAGAGGACGATCCTCAATAGCGTTGACGAGTCGAGTCGACCGCGGCGGTTTTACCGTTACGCGACCCAATGACGAGAGATACGCTCGCCGCGAGAAACGTGGCCGCTTCCGACCATTCGATGGTGCCTCGTGGCCGATAGTATACGGTATAATGCGAACGCGTGTTCCGCGAGTGTTGCCGCTACGATGAAGTAGGTTCCGCACCGCACGCATCGCGGAGAGAAGTCGTATAAAAGGTCAAGAGATTTATTTCACTGAGAGAGCGGCGATTTCGTCGAAGAAATATCTGATATAAATATGTCTCCGGAGATATTCGCGGAAGAGAATTTAAATCCCCGTTACTCGCTCTCCTACGCTCGACAGTAAAATGATAAAATAAGATTGCGTTCGTTATCCTGCCTCCTTATTTCGCGATTGCTTGTAGAAATTTTCATTTCTCGAAACTTATCTGTCCTTCGGTTACTTCGTAATAATTCCTGAATACGTATATTGCAAAGGTTCCCATTTCGTTCTCAATTATTAACATTGATATATTGAATATACTGCATTCTTATATTCACGGCGAAGTAGAAAATTCCAGCTAAGCTCGTGGGTGAATGGGGTAGAGTAAGTCCGACAGGCAGATGTACAGATGAACCTCAACTGAGACTCATAGAGTTTCTCCATTTGAATATACGAAACCGTGACAAGACGTACGCCGCAACGTACGTCATAAGCTTCATTGTTGAGTACCACGAGTCTCCTCTGTGGGAGCAGTCGAATAGACAACATTTCCTGCTCCCATTGAAACTTCGCCGTACGTTCTTTTTTTACGTCGTACAATCGTCGATTACGATTGAGAGTGGGTGTTTAGTTAATCTTGATCAACGGTGACCAAACAGAGAGAGAGAGAGGGAGAGAGAGAAAGAGAGAGAGAGAGTCCACCGTAAATATCGCGACGTTTGGCGATCGCGACAGTGCGGCACTATTAGTTTTCAACGTCACCGCGCGCTGTGATATTCGATTTTCGCAATGATTTGTGTCGACATTCGATGTTACGTTACGATAGCGAAACACCATGATGCTGTGTCATGTGTGAAAATCGATTTTTATAATGATAAAACCGTCTGTGTAACGTACAAAAATTACTGATACACATATCAAGAATATTTTAAATATTCTCGCTCGATTAATTTTTTCGTCGACTGATTCAAAAACTTTTTTTGAAATATGGATTTATCTTAAATTGATTAATTGCACCATTAAATATTTATTATATAAAATAATTATAAATTAAATTATCAATGACGTTCTCTTGAAACAATATCCTTTTCATTTTACGTTGTTATTCTCACTCTCGATTATGATTAAATTTTTTAATTAAAACTGAATTCTATGTATGCCTCCTTTTTCAATTTATATGAAATATTACCGAAAATTCATATTCGGTAATTTTTGCCATTTATATTCACTGAACAAACGTAACGATGCGATGGAGAAGTGGATGGGAATGACGTGTTGTTTCCGCCGTGTTCGCTATGAACGCACAAACAGCATTGGAATGCTGATATTTTTTTTTTTAATTTCTTCTCTCTGTAAAGATATAACAACAATCAAACTTCAACTTATAAATACTTACGCACACGAAACAAACGTTATTTGAAAATGGGAGACGTTTAACAACTATTTGTCCTGTTAAATACACATTTACAATTGTAAAATATAAAAAAATTTTTTCCCATTGGCCATTCCTTTTGTGTTATGACATTTTTTATATTCTATTACAAAATTGCGGATGTAACACACATTGACTGTACGTGTGTAACAGCTTTGTACGTAATAGATTTTTTATGAATTTCCGCGCGAAATTTTAGTGAGGAAAAAGAGAAAGAGAGAGAGAGAGAGAGAAACACAGGAACGAGATCGTTCAATGCTCGTTGTTGGAGCACACGTTACAATGGTGCCGTCTCTATAGACACACGTGGGCATTGAAGTTGAACGTATGCCATTGTAATGGACGAGTAAATACGAGTTATTTCGAAGTTATAAAATTTTCTCAAAACCTTTCCGCGTAATATCCTCTCTCCCCGAAATTAATCTTTATGATCGTCATCCTTCGCGCTTTAATTGGATAGTTTACGGCGAAAACACGAGCGAGGGTAAACCAATTTCTCTGTAGAATACCAACGTTCCGGATATTCTCTAACGGTACTGCCGCTGCCACCACCGTCGCCGTCGTCGTCGTCGTCGTCGCCGTAAAGACAGGAATTCACGCAGCTCGGCAGTGCCGACTAACCGTAGCTGGCGACGAACCGTTTTCGCCTGTTCATTATTTCGTAAATGCGACACGGCGCGAATATCCAACGCCTTTCGCGTCGCTAAATGCCGGCGTATTATTCCCTCACTTGCTTTAATGCTCGAGAGTACGTACGATTCGTCGACAATCGGCATTGTCAACGCCGGCGAAACGGCACGCAGCTCCGGCGTTAATTGCGCGAAACGGCGAACTCACACAGGCAAGAAGGGGGGAGTCGGTGAACCCAAAAACTAGGTTGACTTCCGACAGGTAATTTGTATCGCCATTATCGCGGTCCCACGCAGCCGGCGCGTTCGACGGGCTGGCTGCTCGCGCGTCCCCCGCGAATTTATTCCGTCTTAATGGAAAATGTGTGTACGAGCGCGAAGCTGTAAAGCTCGGCGATGGAGAGGCCGATCGATTCTTACACATCGAGCGTCTCTCTTGCGGTCGATTTCCTCATCGGGTCACCGGGTTATCGGGTTACCATGACGCCAATCGATCGCCCGTTAATGCTGTCACCGCGCCTATGGCTATAATGCACAAAAAAGTTATAAAAAGCATTAAAAAGAAAAATACATTCAGCTTTATTTTCCTAATAATGGGAATTTTTTGCGCTAAAATATTAGTTCAGTCGGTTTGTCGTCGTTTTAACGAGTTTTATTCTTTCTTTTTGTTTCAGACCTTGTCAGAGCGCGCGTCGACGAGACGCAGATGGACACGCACGAGGGCTCGACGGTGCAGCTGCAGTGCCGATTCCCGCCCCCACGGGAGAACGTCACATGCTTCTGGCTGACCCACACGAACAACAATCTCGACAACGCGGCGATCGAGAACCGCTCGCTGTCGCCGAACTACAAGGTGTTCATGAACCTGCAGGAGGGCCGTTACGATCTGCAGATCAGGAACGTGTCCTACGAGCGTGACAACGGCAAGTACGAGTGCAGAGTGAAAGTCAGCAGCACCGGTACCGATCTCCACAGGAAGTATATCACTCTGACGGTGCTGAGGGCACCGGGTCCGCCGACGATATCGCCGGCCTCCACCGCGGCCACGGAGGGCCAGAGGCTGGAATTGCAGTGCAACACCTACGGCGGCAGTCCCGAGCCCGAGGTGAAGTGGTACCGTGGCAACAACACCACGCTCCTGCACACTGGCAGGACCCTGGAAATCATGCCCACGCGGGAGGACGACCGGGCGATCTTCCGGTGCGTCGTGAGAAACCGAGCGATGCGCGAAGGCGAAACTCTGGACGCTTCAGTGACGCTCGACGTCAACTACTTCCCACGCGTGAGCGTCGGTCCGGAGAACCCGCTCAAGGTCGAGGTGAACGGCACCGCGACCCTCAAGTGTCATGTGGACTCGAAGCCGCGGGTCGGCATGGTACGCTGGTGGCGCGACGGCAGCTTCATCGCCACCAACTTCGAGCACGTCATACCTAAGGTGACGCTGCAGGACGTCGGCAAGTACACCTGCCACGCGGACAACGGGTTGCAGCCTACCAGCGGTATGGATAAGCGCGGCGGCGAGGCCTACCTGATCCTGGACGTGCTCTATCCGCCCACGGTGTCGATCGAGGGCGACGCCGTTCGAGTGGCCGACGTGGAGGACAGCGTGACCGTTCACTGTAACGTGTCCGCCAACCCGTTGCCGACCGTGATCGAGTGGCTGCGAGACGGCCGACCGGAGTTCAGACAGGGTGGTTCGATTCTGCGACTCACCCGTGTCACCGCGGAGCACGCCGGCAACTACACGTGTCGCGCGGTGAACACGATTCACCCTACCGGCGGCGAGCGCAGGAATCATTCGGCCTTCGCCAGCGTGACGATCCGGGTGCGGCACAAGCCCGGCCCGGCCAGAGTGACCCCGGACTCGCCGGTCGCCGTCGAGGGTTCGCGGGTGATCCTCACGTGCATGGCCAGTCCGGCCGGTTACCCCGAGCCGCAGTACAAGTGGTGGAAGGAGGGCGAGAGTGGCATGATCCCGATGCCCGCACCGTCCGGCCCGAAGTACGAGATCGACTCGGTACACCTCGGTAGCGAGGGCACCTACAAGTGCCACGCTATCAACGAGATCGGTATCGGCGAGGCCGCGTCGGTGAACCTCACTGTTCACCAGCCGCCCAAGATTCTCACCAAGCTGCAGCCCCACGTCACGAGGAAGTAAGTAAAAAGGATCATGCGTATAAAAATTTTTTTTGGTCTCGCTATTCGAAGCAGAAAAATATTCAATTATTATTTTGAAAAATATTATTTTTCGCGAAACTGCGGTATGAATAATTATTGTTCGATTTTTAAATATTCCTTGACTCTTTCAAGCTTTCGAAAAGCTTGAAAAGATTATTTTCTGAAATAATATTTTTAGAGATATGTATTCGCTGCTTTGGATGTTTCATTCTACATGCAACGGGAAATAGCAATTTCTCGTTGCAATTTCCCTGACAATTCGCTTTTTACAAGGCTGTCACGTTTTTTCTTCATCTCCCTTTGCCCTTTAATTCTCAACTCGTAGGGGAAACGTCGTTGATGTAATTGTAGAAAGTCTGCGGACTTTACGTCTGCTTTCTTCTACAAATTTTCTTCCGTGAGCTATGCACCGCTCGACGAATGAAATAGCTTCTAGCGAGCAGAACAAGATATATCTTCCGTCCTAATAATGTAACGTCTTCTTATCGCAGAGTCGGCGAGTCGTCGTTCCAAGTATCCTGCGTAGCGCAGGGTAAACCGCGGCCTAGCGTGCGCTGGCTGAAGGACGATCAAGAATTAACGGCCGACGAGAGGCTCTACAAAGTAATTACGACGGCGTCGGAGGGCCACGGTAGCGTAATAACCGTAAATTCCACCCTGAGTTTTCTGGGTCACGCTCGTCCGCAGACCGACGAAATCGTGGCGGGCGATCGCGGCAAGTACACCTGCGTCTTCGTGAATGAGGTGAAGAAAGTCGAGTCCACGATGATGCTCAAGGTGGAGCACGAGCCCATAGTTCTCCATCAGCACGGTAAAGTGGCTTACAATCTCCGGGAGACCGCCGAGGTGGCCTGCAAGGTACAAGCGTGGCCAAAGCCCGAGTTTCAGTGGAGCTTCGGTACCAACGTCGCGACCCTTCAGGGCTCCTCCAGCGACGGTCATTACGAGATCACCACCACGAGCGACAACTACGACGCGTACACGTCCGTTCTTAGAATGACCAACATCCGCGAGTCCGATTACGGCGATTATACCTGCCGCGCCGCCAACGCTCAAGGTAGCGTCATGTCCACCATCAGGTTGCAGCCTAAGGGAGCGCCGGAGAGACCGACCAATATTACTGCCATGGAGATCGGGCCCACGTACGTCGCCCTTTTGTGGCAGCTGGGCTTTGACGGTGGCCTGCCCATCACGAAATACTTCGTTTCGTACAGAAGAGTGGCCGGTGGTGACGAGATAGTCGCGCCGGACTGCGCCCCTCCTCGAGGACCAGCCGGTCAATGGCTCGAGCTCGATTGTCGACGATCGAACCCGTGTAACGTGACCAATCTGGAGCAACATCAGACCTATACCTTCAAGGTTAAGGTCTACAATACCAAGAACCATTCCGATTATTCCGACGAGGTGTCCGCCACCACGGCAGTGGCCAAGATACCCACGCCGCTTAGAGTTAGCTTCGATCCGGAAAGTAGCACGCTCGCTATTAATGTGGGTGCTACATGCTTGGCACTGGTGGCGTCTATCGAGAAGTTCGACGGAGGTTCGGATAGTTCATGGCGAATCGTCGACGAGTGGCCCCTCGAAGTTCTCGGAAGTGCACCTACTCAAAGAGAGGGAGTATTGGACGATCCCGAAGCAGCCGACTCGGAACCCCGACTGAGAGTTAGGTTGTGCCTCAAAGCAGACCGGCAGAAATGCGGTGAATACGCGGAAGCCGAAAGTAAGTAATTTGTTTTACAAATATACGGGATAATCAGAGGGAAAAGAGTTAATGTTTATAAATTCATTTTAAAATTATTTATCTCGCAAAACCTATAGCTTCTTAATTACTAAAAAATTGCATTATTAGTAAGCTTTAGAATATAATAATTAATTAATTTACAGTTCAATATTAATTAATTAAAATAATTATTTTATAATATTTGTAGAGTTAAAACTTTATCACATTAATTCGTAAACTAAACGACATCTCAATAAAAATTTTGTTTTTTTTAGTTCTGATGCTACTTTAAATCATGTCGAAAAATTTCCAATCAATACATCTCCATTATATAGAAATTTCCGTCAGTTACAACAATTATTTCTTCTCGCAGTTTATAAATACAAGCCCTTTTAATAATTAATTTTGAAAGCAGGTGCATATATTTTTCAGCTTAACGGACGTTTGTTCCAGTTAACGGTTATATTTTCCCTAGTTATTAACAATGCAAAGTTTTTGTAATAATTAAGTAGCCCAATTTTTAAAAGAACGATAACAACTTAATAAATCTTTTTTTCGGCGGTTATTTATTTAATATAATTATAAAATAAAAATATAGTCGAAACGAAGTTATTTTAGAAATTGTACCTTTGTCGAGACTTTTCACCAAGCGTTCTTTTTCCTCGCAGTTGGACCATCGTACATCGCACAAGCCGGCTCTCTCGGAACGCCGACTTTAATCGCCCTGATAGTAAGCGGAGCAGTTTTTCTACTTTTCGCGGCCTTGCTGCTGTTGTTTTGCCGATGCCGGCGGAAACACGCGACGAAGGCGAAAGATTACGAAATGGACTCGAACGCGTAAGTATTCGAATCTAATGTTCGCTGTAAATTAAGAATACGAAACGATGCGTCGCTTCACGTGGCACGAATGTGAAGAAGGGCACGGCTCATTGAATTCTTTCTTTTATTCCGTAGCGTCCGGCCGAGCCTTGTGGCAGGTAACGGCCAGCAAACCCAACCACCCCCACCGTATTATGCCGAGAACAAAGCGCTGGAGCACAGCCTGGATCACGCCTTGGCTTTGGAAGATTCAAAGACGCCCGCTTATTCGCAATCTGGATACGGTTACCATCAACCTAATCATAATATCAACGGTAAATGTCACAGAAAATAGTTTCCCCGCAAAAAATATGTCCCTTTCGACCGCATCGTTATGTTTGTAAAAACGTGTTAAGGTATGCAAATATATTACACGTGTTCCCTTTTTTTTCCCCAGGCGTGAATATGGGTTACATGGACAACAGTTACTCGAATTCCAACAACGGCGGTTCCGTCAATTCGCAGGATTCCATATGGCAGATGAAATCCGCCGCGGCGAACGGTGTTAACCAGCCGTACGACCTCGCCGGCTACGGTACCACGGAGTCTGATTACCCTACTCACCCTCATTATCTCCCGCAGAGAGAGGATTACAGGGAAAGCCATAATCTGAGCCGGCAGCAGTTCTGCACGGAGCCCTTCGCCACCGTCGTCAAGTCTCAGAAACACGTCGGTCGGTATTAGCCTTACGATCGTTTCACGTGACTCCCTCCGTCCAGTTCGCCTAGCTTCTAATGACAGTCCCTATATTGCCGGTGTGCGTGCCGGGTTGCAGCGTTATAGATTATATCGTACGTTACATCGATCTTCCGCGGCTACACCACATTGTTTCGCGATGCCTCCTCCACCTCCAGAGAGGCCTTGTTTCGTCCTCCCCCCTCCCCAGATCGTCCGTTGCCCTCTTCTTCCGCAATCTCGTAATTCCGCCCTCGTATTAATCGTCTGCCGTATCTCCCAACAGATTCGCCTTACGACGTGTCGGGTTTGCCGTACCAGGAGAATTACGACGAGGACACGAAGCCGCCGCAGCAGGCCAGCCTCTCGTACGACGAGAGCCTCGAGTCCGGCTATTCCACGCCGAATAGGCGTAGGATCATCCGGGAGATAATCGTTTGAGACCTGCCTACCGGCTCACGAGCCGGAAACACGCGCACCACCTGGCTATAGCAGCAGGCCCCCGTTTGCCATACGGTCACGCAGCAGCATCGTCCGCATCACCTCTATCACCGCCATCGCCATCGTCACCATATGGAGATCGTCCTTGAGAATCCTTCCGTGCCGCCGATCGTGACGGCCGCGACGACGACTACGCAAATGGGTCTTCCGACGCATCCGCCGCATCACTTTCCGCATCGCGCGGCGTACGACGTAGGTTTAGGACGTAGCCCGTCGTTGTTGCCCGCGGAGGACTATTACGCAAGGAATCGTCACGCGTTAACGCCGTACGGCGAGCTGGACGGCGCGCCGGCCCCGGTGACGGTCCGGCGAATCGACAAGTCCGGATTGCTGGAGATCGCGGAGACGGATCCCGTCACGTGTCCGCGTCCTTGCGTGCTCACCGGCGCGGAGGACGTGGCCGCGCGTGGCGTATCGTTACGGATCGATCGCTCCGGGCTTCTTGAGGCTGTTCCCGAGGCCGTTGATCAGCCGGAGGAACACAACGGCGGCGCGACGACGAAGATGCTCGACGAGGCCGCGGGGATATCGCGAGGGGAGACGTTAAAGGTGGACGCCGAAGTGAAATCTCGCGTGTTCGAGGGTGGTTGCCTGCTGGAACGGCCATCATCCTTGGAGGGGCAAGCCTGCCCGGACGAGGTCGACACCAGGGCCCATTCTGCGGATTTCAAGGTGCTAAGTGGAAGCCCCCGAGCTCGACTCGACGTTTCCAAAGCCACTGAGAGGCTACCGCACTTTCCGTTCTCGCCCGGCCTTTCCCTGCGCCGTCTTCGGAACGATCCTTCGAGAAGATCTCCGTTGACGAGCCGTTGCGTCGACGCGGATTTGATCCGCGGGCCGCGAAGTCAAAGATCTCCAGAATTCACCGCGAAGTGTACTGCCGCTAATTCCGCCGACCCGTCACAGAGTCCAATTACACGCGAACGATCGCAAGTAGGATGCACAAAAAGCAACGTTGATCCTGCGTCAACCGACTCGGATATTCCAGCGGTCGACGCGAACAAAACGCTTCGCGAATCGCTGTTGACGAGAGACGGCGCGGAACAGGAGGACGATCCGCCGGGAGAGGAGAGGGCCGAGGCGGAAGGATGCGAACATACGACCGTCGAGAGTCTCGAAGAGGACGAGGTATCGTTCAAAGGGTCCAACAAACTTCTCGACAACGACAATGTCCAGACGCTCAGAGTGATCATTCTATCGGAACAATTGTGAAAGTGACCGTACTCGAGTGCAATGATACAGGCAGTGATATCAGTATACGCGCGAGTGCTGGTGAATGCGCCAAGAGTACCGGAGGATACGGTCTCTACGAAGGAATTGCCAATTATCGTCAAGGACGATGCATCCTGCGCGATGCGTCGTCCTTCCTCGTCCAATTAATTTACCAACTTTTACTGATATCTGACTCTAGGCAATTAAGACTTTCTAAGAAATTTATTGTTTTTAATTGTATGTATTTTTTGTTGAACTTTAATCGCTATCTCGAATATCTTGCGAGAAGCCGAATTTTATCATCCAAAACAGCATTCGAGCTCGTTTATTTTTAATAACGCTCGAGATTGATTATTTTATCGCTAACGCTTTGAATCCGGCAATTTTATCAATATTTTACATGTTGTTGATTCAGACGATTAACTGCCATCCCGGATTCAATGCATTAATCGTTATTCGTTTAATTAATTAATCTCGACGCTGTCCACGAGGACATTCCTCCATGCGACATTATTACGCAACATTATTTCGTTAAATTTTATCAATTATCACAAACGTTCATTATTTCATTGCATTTATATTCGCTATCTTCGCGACCGTGGATATTTCTTTCTGCCGAACGTGTTTACAGAAGACGCGTGCACTCCTCGTGAGACTGTGTCCACGAGCGTTCTCCGAATACGGCGTTAAAGTGCCAGGACACATCAATTTCCGGCCGCTCACGCGAGAAAGGATGTCTTAGGTATAAACGGGAAGATATTTCAAGAACGAGGGCAAGTCGGACGGAAAATCTCGCGAGTCAATGACGCGCAAAAGCTGCCCGACTACGTCTATCGGTGTGAAGACTCGATGCGGCGTTCGATGCATTTTATACTTTTATATACACGAGGGTGTGACGCGCCGTCTCTTTGAACGACAAGCGATTGCGGTTTATCCCTATCCGCGCCGATCGGAGTTATTATATAAATATATTGACCAGGCGGCGAATAACACCGCCGGTTGTGTAAGTACCTAGGCGTAGCGTTTATAAGTAAGAGATGTATTCTTTCGCGGAGGAGAGTTTTTTTTTATCGAGATTCAGCCGCGTCGTGCGGGCCATCGGGCTGAAATTGGCGAGACGATCATTCTCGACGTTATCTACCTCGTGATGGAACAACCCGGCCAACTCGAACCCAAATTGAACAGAAACTCAAGATGATATCAATTTTGACGTCATATTGATAAAATTTACGTCATTTTTTGGTCAAATTGACATCATATGGACTTTTTTTGCTCTGTTTGGGAACAGTTCGAGTTGAGCGTCTGGGAAATGTCTCTCGGACATCCCTCAGATCTGTCTTTTGGACTGTCGCGTTGTCCGGCGAGGGCGACGGCGCATTGAGCGTTCTCTCATCAACTGTAAATAATCGAGCGAGTTCTCTAAGGTACTTAATGCAAGCGTAAAAGACCCCCGCGAGCGCTCTACAATTGTATTCGCGCCGCTTCGCGAGTCACGAGTTGGACGCGACGAAGGAGCGAACGATATCTCGACGACAACGAATTTCGCTGTTTCAGCCCGCGATACTTCGGACTAACGATAGACACTAAATGTATACACACACATTTTTTTTTTATTACGTTCGTACGGATTCTACGCGTCACTCCGTTTTATAGTTGTACGCGGCGTGTAGAGATTACGTGCGCGGCGCCTTTTGTTGAATGTTTATCTCCTCCCCTTTCCCTTCACCTTCTTCCTTTCATTTATACACGTATGTCCCTCTTTTTTTATTTTTGTATCGTCGATCGAACGCGCCGGCAAAGTTTCGTTTCCCTTCGCTCGCGCAGCAGACGTGAAAATATAACAGAATGGAGTGCAACGCATTTTACTGACGACCGTATTAAGATGATCGATCGCGACGTTGTATTACGTTCTACTTTCTGTCGTAGATTTTCGCGAACGCTCTGTAGCATAATAGATTATGATACGTTCGTCTCGGTCGCGCGTTTCCACCAAAACGAAACGCCATCAAATCACAGGCTGCTCCTCTTCGCCGAATTTCGCCGACCGCGTTTCCGATACTTCCCCCATTCTGTCGTATCTTCTGTGGTCCAGCGAGGGACGGTAAACGCGGCGACTTGGTCTGCGCGCGTTTGTTCGCATATCGTTTTGTGATCTCATTTGCTCGTAAATGCAATCTCGGAGACATTCGCGGTCGGACGATCGCGGTCTCGACCGTTGCGATTGCGCGTCCGCTATTGCGGATCGTACAACCCTCTGTGTCGGCCCTACGCTGGCCATTTTAGTCTCGTGTACCACGACGTAGGCGCAATTAGGAGAGAAAGGACACATAAGTACTTTAAGTGTATTCCACCGAAAACGATGTCGTGCTGCACGTACAACGCGATCGTAACGAGTCTTGTTGGACGTAATCTTCTTCGCTGATTACTTCGCTAATGAAATACGACGGTATTTATCAAGCGTGAGGGTCGGTCAAGCCATTACTGCCCGCTCGGCGGTGGTATTTTTATTTTTCCTCTTACTATTTCGTTCCCGATTTTTCCCTCTGAATGTATCTTCTACTAGAGAATTCGCTTTACTGACGCTAATACGCTATCCAATATTGAAATATTCCGTTTTACATGTGAAAAAATATTTTATCTTCTCTTTTTCCCCTTTCCCTCCCTCGTTCAGTTTTTTTTTGCAACTGCATTTTACTAATTATATACGTTCTATCTTTTCCTAATATCTTTTTCCACCCCGATTTATCTGATTCAGTCGCATTAGCGTTTTTATTATTTGATTTATATATTTCCTTTCACTTCCTCGCGCTATATCACATTTTTTTTCGCGATTCACCGATGACCGATGTATGAAAAAACACGCTGGAAATCTCCTACTTCCATGTCTTTCATAGAACGAAAGTTAAGCGTGAACGTTAGACGTTACGCGCATGCCGCGCGTCTCGAGACGCCGGTATATTCAAGATAAACGGAATCTATTCGTTTCTCGGCACGATTACTCGAGGGACACGGACGCATCCACGGCTATACCCCCTCGGTTCGGATGCCACGATAAATTCTAGCCGCGATATACGAGGAGAGAGAGAGAAAGAGAGAGAGAACGAGAGTGAGGCAAGCTGCGGAATGGCAGACGCGCGGCGGGATGGGACAGGCGAGCGGGAAAAGGAACGGAGAAAAAGTAGTCGACATATTTTTGCACAACGAAAAATCGTATATAGATGGGTACATGTTAAAAACACGCGTATGTAGGGTTAATAAATTTTCTGGAACGCCAACAAGACCGTGTTCGATCGATTTTTCGCTACCTTACGCGCGAGAACAAGGAAAACAAGAATTACCCTGAGATTTTGTACATAATACATAGCGGAGAGAGAGAGAGAGAGCGAGAGAGCGATGGAGAGGAAGTGCGTGCATGTGAAAATGTGTATGCGGGTATGTGTGTTACGGTAAAAGAAGAAAACGAAAAAGAAAAAAAAAGAAAATGTTACGTTGTAAGAAGATGATTGTAAGACGAGCGGAGCTAAGTTGTAGAGTTTTTTCCCCCCTCGAATAACGTCGCTCGCCGAAGTAGCTGTAAATACGAGGACGTACGTTTCTCTAAACTAATTAAATAGCGCCAACCCTCCCGATGTGAAACGAGAGAAAGACGATCGATTTATCTCGTTCAAAGTCGTCCACATGCTCGGCCTGGATAGACGCGTTATAGACGCGCGTATCCGGGAAACGCGAACGAAGGAGCGGAAAAAAAGGAATGCCTACAAATGCCGGATGCCGGTTAGGACGACAGCAGATCCTCACGAGGAGGTCCTGTCGGCTGTCGTCGGTGGGATCGGTTTCGCGAGGATCGCCGAGCCTTCGTGATGAGTCCGGTACCGCACCGCGTGCCCACGTGCCTGCGCGCGGTTGCTCGCAATATGTTAATTAATAGCGCGCGTACATCGCGTATACGCGTCGCGCGCATGTGCGCGTGTGCACGCGTTGCATCCACGAGAGATCCGTATATTAATTAAATACCCATCATAGTTATGATATTATAATGAATTATTATTTGTACAAATTTTATGTTGCAATATAAAATAAACGATGAAGCGACGATCTCCCGCGTTTTCGATTCTCTTCCCATTTCTCATATTTCTTCTCTTCTCGCGAGTCAGGAGCTGCGATCGTTTCGCTGCTGTTTGCAGCGAGAGAAAAAGGTTCCTTGAAAAATTAGTTTCAATCTATATCAGCGCTGCCATTTAGTCACTTAAGTCACTTTTTGTCACCTATTTTTTTGGCAAGTTACTAAAAAGTCTCTGTCGTCTAAAATGGATCGCTATAGTCATTGTAATAAATCGCACGGGGTTTTAAATAAAATGCACGCAATTTTAAAGGAAACAAACGCGGTTTTAGAGAAATAGCACGCGATTTCAAGAAATTGTACGCGATTTTTAAAAACGCACATGACTTTGTAAAAATTGCCTGGCAGTGCTGCTATATTTTTTAGATTATTTGCATTATGTTACATTCATAATTAGCGTTTGCAGTATCTCGAACGTTTGTGTCTCGACATATTTCGAGCGAAAGTTCGGCGCCGCGGCGCCGGACGGTCGGGATTTATGGAAAATCTCGTGCCGCAGATTCCCGCGTGCGATTTATATCACAGGGGATGCGAACTATCGAGAGGTGGCCGTTACCTTCGTCGACCTCGGCATCGAGACATCGACCTCCGTGGGCGCGATGGCGCGAGCTTGCGCCGTCCGTGGCTTTCTCCCCCTTCGTGCTCGATAAAACAACTGTGTAAGGCTTTTCACCCTCTATACGATATCCCCCGTTTCCCTCGGAAACCGAGGCGATATTTTACAGTCGCGACGCGAGGCGGCCGGTGAAAAATGCGCGGGGCGGTACGACGCCGCGGTGAACAATCGATAAAGGGCGAGATGCGAGTTTCCAGTGGCACGCGGGAACCGCACGGTGCAACGCGTAACATGCTGATGGTGCTGTCGAAACGCGAGAGGATCAGGTAAGAGGATACGCGCGGTACCGGCGCGGCGGGCGCAACACGCAACGCTCCTCTCCGTCGCGCCGAATTACACGGCATGCTTCTAGCGTTACGAAATAACTGCTCTGACGCGCGAGGCGCTTCACCGAGCATGCTCGTAATCTTCGAAATCCTGACGGTGATTCTAATTCGTTATGATCGTAATAATAATGTTACGAGGCTAATGCTAGCATAGCAACATCATCGAGCTTTCCCGCGTTCTCCCAGTCGACTCGCGTACACCGGGTATTATAAATAATGTCGATGAACAAGATTCAGTCGTTAAATATCCCTTTAACGGAATACTCGTATTTTACCTATCTCAATATCTTGTCTATGTTATTTTCGCGTTTTTACTTTGACGATCGTAATTTTTATATTAATTTATGGTAAATACTTTGAAATGGTTAATTGTGAAGATAAATGCGCGAGAATAAAGATAAAGTATTTAAAAAGTTTGCAGAAATCTTTTAATTTGTATAATAATTGACTAATTGTCTAATCGAAATGTACTAACGGCGCTGCACACAACAACTTTTGACCAGAACTGTCGTCAGTTTACTATACCGAAGAATGCTTGTGTATTATTTCTTGTCCTTGAGATATCCCCCGAAATTGATTTCCCGAGGCAAAATAAGAGGCCCGAAATAGCGCCAATAGTACCGCGTTCCAGTCGTGCGACCGACGTTACCACGTGGCGCATCGAATCGTTACACCAAAGTCTTAATCTCCTATAGTTTTCGGCGCTCCAAAAACATTACGTGTGTCTTCTGTGAGGAGAGAAAAGAAAATTTTATTCACTAATATTCCGTACGGTCACCGGTGATATTAATACGCGACACGACAAAGAGTAAAAGGCGTAACTTCAAGAAGAAATTAACATTAGTTAACCAGACCAGATGAGGCAAGATGAAAAAGCACTAACTTGTTGAGTAAATTAAAATGAATGCTGTACCGAAGAAAATACATTGTGCTAATTATAATCTGAGCGTTAAACCGTACATCCACAGTTTTGCGACAATTCTTCCATGAATATATAGATGTGCGAAAAATTTTGTGAAGATCTGTGAAGTCTTGTCTCTTCACTGGAGAAGATATATCGTTGGCAAATGTCCGGATTTCAGACGTATCCTATCGACCGGATTTTATCCATGCATCACATTCGTACGTATCGATGTTAATATATTGATTGATTGACGTAGTTTTGTTTCGCTCGACGCAGAGACCCGTATCCAACTCATAGTTATAATATTAATTGTTAAATACATTTGATTTCATTAAGAAATGTGTTACTTAATTGTCGACAGATTTTGTGATCGTTTATCTCTGAATATTTCGAATGCCACGCGGATATTTCGTGTTATTTCGTCTCGTCGAAAAGGAAATTTGTCGCGACGATAATCGCGACGCAAAAATCCACGCGAAAGTTTTCGCTTTCATTTTTTCCCTCCTATGGGGAAATTGCGCGATCAATCCCCTGAAAGTTCAAGATAATAATAGTTGCCAATGACACCGACGTGTATAACATGCCCTAGTAATAACAGATCGATGTCCTGTTATGCGGGCATGTTCAGTTAGCGACGTTAGCGTTCAGACGATAGCACACGCCGTATCGCTTGGTTACCGCATGTGACATAAGGTTATTAATATTGGCACTGTCAATATCCGATTACGCAACGATATACGAGAAATATCCAGTTATCCAGAGGTAATTCAGAATTAATTTGACCGAGACAACGTCAATTCACATTTTCTTCTTTATTCTCGTTTCATGTATAAGCACTGTTTTAAATATGCAAGACTCGTGTTCTCGTCGCTCATTTAACATTTAATGCTAATCTGATCTTGATATCTACGTCATTATGGTATCAAAGGTCACATTTAAGATTAATGCGATATAAAATAATAAATTGCTATTTATTACTTATGCATTTTTTTGCAAATCACAAGCGATTTATGTAGGTCACTTTACGTTTCTGTCTCCGATTCTAAGATCTCGCGCAATTCAGATAAATTGCAGGATGTAGAATGAATAAGTTAATCTAAATTAATTCTTTGTTTCCCTTTAATTAATAAATCATTCAGTCGAGCCTAATATAAGATAATTTCGGGGAACGATTCTATTTGCAATATAGTTAAAAAATTTAGTTAACTATTGTTAAGTTAACTTGATCAAGTTGATATATGAGTGATCTTGATGCCTTATTGGATTCCAATCATCAAGCAGATAACTTGGCGAGGTGGTGACAATTTTTCGCGTTTGCTTTCGCAGCAGCCGACGCGCGGCGAGAACGTCGTCTGAACGACGACGGCGTGATCGCGGGTGCCGCAACTCCCGATTATCGACCACGGATGCAGGCCCGCCATGGTCAAGGCGCAGTCGCGGCCCAGGCGCGGTCGCCGCGATCAAAGCTGTCGGACTTCTTCCATGTCTGGGTCAACAACATCCGACTGTTCTACTCCTGGGGCAACTTAGATAGCCTGACACCGCAACTGCCCAGCACGATGGGTAATCTGCAGAGCGACGGCAAGAAGAAGCAAAAGAAGAAGGAGGCCCCCCCGGTACCGACGTCCACGTCCACGTCCGCGGACGTCGAGCCCGAGGCAACCGAGGACCAGAGGAAGGACAAGCGAGACCAACCGCCCAGAGTTCCGGAGAGGCGTGACGAGCCTCGCGAGCCGGTCAAGATCAGCTTCGAGAAGGTGCACACACCGGGACATGGCAAGAGACAGGCACCGCCGCCGCCGCCGATGGTGGTGTTACCCAAGGTATTTGGTACCGCCTTTTTCTCTCAAGACCGATTAACAAATTATCGATCGGATGAGGGACTTTTCAAAGAGGAGGTTCTGCGAAACGTTCCGTATAGTTTGTTGATGTTTAATACACCGAAATATATATTAAAATAAAATGAAGATATAATTTTTCTGTAATTATTTGTGAGAAATGTAAAGCGGTAGATGGAATGTCGTCAACCGAACAGGAAATAGGGAAAATAATTTTATGCTCTACCTGCCTCCGACTTGAGTAACAGTCGTAGTGCAAAATATTATTTTGTAATTAGGACACGCAGGAAAGTGTAGAGCCTGAATGTCGCAAGGATACCGCAATAACAGTGAAACCATGCGTGACCACGACGGAGTCTTTCCGCTCGAGTACCACGACAACGACGACGACACCGGCCCAGACCCCGACGACACCGCAGACGACCCAGCTGCCGCCACTGCTGGTGACCGATTCGTGGCGTTTGGCGAACAAGGGTCTGGTCGTTACGGAAATGCCGACGCCGCCCAGCCAGGAATCCTCGAGCGACAGTGTCTTCACCGATCCCGGAGAGCTCACCTTGAGTCCGGTCACGGCAACCACGCGGGCGGAAGCGGTGAAACGTAAGCCGATCCCGGGGACGCCCGACAGCAAGGAGGAGAAGGCTCCGTTTACTATCTCGAAGCACAAGAAGATCCATCTCTCGGTGATGAGTCCCCGAATATGTGAGGATAATTTTGTTGATTTCGTAATTGAGAATCTTCTTACGCAGTTTTACGCGGCAATTAACACGCTATTAAAAATTAAGTAAGTCGACGATGTAAATAGGCTATACGTGTAATAGTCGGTGTAACGTAGACAAGGTTGTGTTAAAACATAGATTTACGATATCATCTGTAAATCGTATCTTGTATAAGTGATATTGTGCAAAATGAGCGTGATATGTATATTGGACCTAAGTCAACATAACTAGTTTCCAGTTTCATCGACGTCTCATATAAAAACATTTCATTTTTAGGCATAACGTCAAGCGAGAAGAATGCGATATCGGAACCGAGCCCGAGCACTCTGCAGCGACGACACAGTGTTTATGAATCTCCGACGATCGAAGGCAGAGTTCTGAGAAGAGTAGCCAGCTTGACCCTCGATCGAAATAGCGCCAAGAAGAAAAGAAGTTCTAGGAACATCACCTGCCAGAAGACGGATCATCGCAAGCAATCCGAAGGTAAGATAAACATGCTCTCGATCAAGATTAGGAATTGTTTAAAAGAGACTCAATTGTATCGCAATTTTACGATTTAACGAATCTTCTCTCGAAAGAAATGGCAACGGGGACTTTTTGATAGCGGAGGACTCGTAAGATGTAGGCTATCTACGACTTCGGCTCTCGTGAATCCGGGACATAAAAATGACGAAGCACTTTCAAGATAGAACGCTTCATAACTACGTATAGGTCAGCGTACGACCTAGTATCCATCACGCACTGACGATTGCGAGTCTAACGCGAATCTTATCTCGTGACGGAAGAGAAGGCGCGCGATAACGTTAAGGGTAAACACGGCGATATACCTTTTCGCACGCAGTGACGTAATGCGCGTGAGATCGTTCGCGCAAAAATTGCCGAGTGTCGTAAGTCCGGATAACGTGGATAACGATAATCGTGACAATCGTGATCGGCAATTAAGCGGAACGCGCAACGATAAGGATAATCAAGTTCTTTCATCGTCGGCGGCGTCGATTATACGTGTTTTTAAACGGCCACCAAATAACCCGTATCATTCGTGGCCGAGGTTATAGCGGAGGTGATACGCGCGAATCAAACACGTTTGTTTGCCGATAAGTCTTATCGATGGGGCGGTTCGCAGGGTTCGGTTCGGATTCTCGTGTTCTCCCGTGCCTGTCTGCGAGCGAGATGCGGCGGCAGTTTCTTGCGGAGCGGCGCGGCAAGATATCCGTGACCGAAGTAAAGTCGCGAGATGAAGGAGTGTCTAATATTTTTATTCGAATGGACGTGAACTCGAAGAGTGATTGCAGGAAAGAGACGAGAGTGCATTCGCGCACGTGTATGACGCGTGTACGTTCATTACGTGTGCCAGCTTCGCGGTTGAATACGAAAAGATATCGAACTGAAACAACGTAATCATTTTAATCGTAATCAATGACAAGTATAGATGACGATTTCTCAAATAGTCTTCTTTGCTGATTATCTTTTCGCAACGTAATCGCGTTGTCGTTACGAGACGTTTGAGCGTTTGCAGAAATGTCCAAAGTTCACACGCTACACCTTGTTTATTGACATGATTTTTCTATAATGTTCTCTTAGAAATTGCATTAGTGATAAAGTGATTAGAAGATAAGGTATTTATAAAAGAGTCGTTCATCCCGAATATAAAACGAGATAAGAGCTAAAGTTGATAAAGAGTCGCTCGTTGCCTTTACAACATGCATCATTAATTAGGACGGATAGCAAGTTCATAAAGATACAAGTGTCGTTAATAACTCGGCCTATATATAAAGTTACAGTTAAGAGAAAACAGTTGCTTGTGCAGAATTTTATTTAATACTTGTGAAGATTTTATCAAGTGACAGTCAAGAGAGCAAAAATAATTCACTCGAAAAGAAATATTCGTCGAGCTTCAGCGTGGTCGCAATAATAAAGGACTAATTTTATATCTCGCATATTAATGGAATTTTCAGAACAAAAACTGCCAATCTCTCTGACATCCGCGCTATCAGATAAAACCGCGAAGAACAACTTTACGTCCCTGGTAAGATCCTGATCTCTATTTTGACAGCAATCAGTGTACACGATTACTTACTTTTGGAATGTCTTGTTTTAATCAGATAGATCGGACAGGCACCTGCGCAGATGAGCTTTATTCAACTCGAACTGAATCGAGCCAAATCTGCCGTGAGCACTCCATGCTTAAGGATACTTATTCGTATGAAGAAGTGAAGAAGCTGGAAGATGAGATCAAACGGCTGCGCGAGATATCTGCAGACCGGCAGATAAGCATCAGAGACCAGCCCACTCAGTCTACTCAGTCCACTCAGACATCACCGAGAAGCTTATCACCGGTTGATGGAAACGTCAGTGAAACGAGCAACTTGGATTTCGATCAAGTCAAGATGACTCTCGTGCTTTCCTCCACGTTGGCCGACAAGGTCGATCGGTCGTGCTTATCACATAGCAGTCAAACAAACGCGCCTAGCGAAGATTTGGCGCCGTATCCGACACCGCTACCACCTCCATTACCGCCGGAGGCATTCGCGAAAAGCAGATCTACAGCTTCCTCGGTATCGTCTTTTATCCCACCACCACCGCCGCCGCCGTCTCCGTACACGCTTGTCACCGAATCGGTGCGCGACGGCGAAAGGACAGTTCCGTCGTCGTCGTCGACAAAATTGACGGACGTTTCTAGGATACCGACACCACCGCTGCCACCTCCCCCAATGCCAATGCAAAGTACATTATTATCTCCGCCGCCCGCTCCGTCTCCACCACCATCTACGCCGACCACTACGAATACGATACCCATTCCTCCACCTCCACCTGTGCAAGCGATCATAAGTGCGATACCTCCGCCATCTCCCCTGCAAAACATGATACCTCCTCCCCCACCTCCTCCCCCACCTCCGCCCCCCGTTTCGTTTAAAGTGAGCATTGAGAGTGGCGTACCTCCTCCTCCTCCTCCTCCACCGCCACCACTACCTATGCATCTTCAAAGTGCGACGTGTGAGATGTCTTCGTCTATGAAAATTACCATACCTCCTCCGCCACCACCACCGTCCACGCCGATGTTGAACGCGTGCGGGATACCACCACCGCCGCCTCCTCTGCCTACGTCGCTCGTGGCTGATGCTACTAGCTCGATACCTCCTCCGCCGCCCCCGCTACCTGGGATGGCGCAGGGTCCTATGACTGGTCCACCACCGCCGCCACCGCCGCCAGGTATGCAGGGTGGCATACCTCCGCCACCTCCGCCTCCCATCGGAGGTTCAGGTGCAGGTCCTCCGCCACCGCCTATGGCCCCACCGCCACCCCCGGGGACAATGGGACCATGTCCTCTACCCGCTCCACCGGTCGGGGGATGGAACCCGCCCAGTAGAGCCAGTAGGTATCACGATTTCAAAAGTACAGAGTACTCTCGATAATTCTTTTCGTAAATCGAGAGTACGCTGTACGCTCTTTCCGGCTTTGGGATTCTGATATTTGCACCGCGTAACACAAGTGCCTCGCTTTTGTAGTTATGAGAAAGCAAGCTTTAAATCCTGACGTGCCTATGAAGCCACTTTACTGGACGAGAATTTTGGTGCCTGTTACTGCGGCCAGTCAAACTTCAGTAGATACTTCAGACTTGTCACCCCAGGTAAGCGGAAAACACAGACTCTATAATAAAATTTGCTATTGACACAAAATGTGGACGTGAAGAGTGACTTTCTCTGTCTTATTTAGGTGCCTCTGTGGTTGGAACTCGCGGAGGAGGAAAATTTAAACATGAAAGAGTTCGCTGATTTATTTTCGCGGCAGGTGAGAGAGAGGAATCCGACCAAGAAAAATGAAGGGACGCTCAAAAGTTCTAAGATCCAACCGGCGAAGATATTAGACTCGAAGCGTTCAAAGATGGTGGGGATTCTCGAGAAGAGCCTGCACATTGATTTTAGCGAGATCGAGAACGCGGCCTATAATTTAGACACGAGCGTTATCAGTTTAGAAGCGTTGCAACAGATCTACGATATTGTGAGTAAATCGTAAAAAACTATATAATTGAAAATACTTAAATTTGTATAAAATCCAGTTTTTTAATTTCTAAATATAACAATTTCCGCAAATTTTTAATCACTCTGATATCTTTTGATTTGTAGAAACCGACGCAAAAGGAAATAGAAGAAATTGCAGCTCACGAAGCAACTTTTCCGGACATTCCTCTCGATCAACCGGAATTATTTCTCAAACGATTATCCGGAATAAAACACTTCTCCGACAGAATAGCCTGTTTAATGCTGCAATCGGAATTTCAAGACGCGATATCGTCGGTCTCATATAAGTTGAACAACGTGCGAACTACCTGCGACTTTCTGCTCAATTCTGAACCTTTGAAGAAAGTAATGGCCATCATACTCACCTTGGGCAATTACATGAACGGCGGAAATATGTTGCGCGGCCAGGCCGACGGTTTCGGCCTGGAGATTCTCGGCAAATTGAAAGACGTGAAGTCCAACGTACCTGGTGTCACCTTGTTGCACTACGTCGTTAATGTCAAATTGTCCCAAGAAAAAGATCATAACTTCGAAGAGCCGTTGCCTTTACCTGTGCCTGAACCGGCTGACGTAGAAGCCGCATCCACGATCAAGTTCGACGACATCTCCAAAGAACTGGACAGACTGGATAAAGAATTACAGGGTGAGTGATATTTTATATATATATATAATATTATCAGTATTAAGCGCCAATCAAAAATTGTTATATTTATTTCTTTATTTTTAAATATTTCCTTGCTTAAAAGATTTGGTAGATATGAAAGAATCGAGATAATATTACATCCGTAAATATTAGCCTCCTTATTTGAAATATTCAATAAATTTTATCTTAATTATAGTGTTAAAAAATGTACACACAAGTTATTTTTTGCGCTTTTAATAAAAAAAAAATTTTTTTAACAATAGAATGCAATTTTGTTAATATTTCTGTACTAATCCAGATTATTAGATTAAGAAAGCGAGTGCAAATAATGTGGCGAATGCTGTTGCATTCATCGACGTAATTGTTTTCTCGTGTTTCACATTTATTTCCTTTATTTGGATCCAGTTTTACATATAATTTATGCAAATAAATAAGATAAGTGAAATTAATTTGTTTTAGCATGTGCACAAATGTGTAATACAATCGTGGAAACGGATCCATCTACGTCTAAAATATTCAAAAAGAAAGTAGACTCATTTCTGAAGAGGGCGAATACCGAGTTGGCGAGCGAAAAGGAAGATCTACTGGAGGCTAAAAACAAATTCAAAGCTGTGATGAAATTCTATCAGTTTATTCCCAAAGGATCCACTCTAGAGACTGCAGAACCTTATGATTTTTTCAATCTATGGCTCGGTTTCTGTCGGGACTTTAAGGTAAAGATACGATAGAGACGATAAGAATATAATTCACGATGAAATTACTGCGCGAGCAAATTACGATGGATCGCATTTTTGCAGGATATCTGGAAGAGAGAGCAGCAACGAATACGAAAGGAACGAATGGAGGAAGCTCGCAAAAAGTTCGAGAGCAAATCTAATGTCGTGAGAGTAAAATTAAATCCGCATGGATTGAAAGCGAAACTACAAAAACTTACGCATAAGAAACATACTCAAAGATAGTCTCATCGAAATGTCCATAAATTGTTTAAAAATTTAGGTCAGTTTAACGTACAGTTTATACGTACAATCATATTCACTAAATTTTGAATTCCATAAATAATTCCCTTTAATACTCTGGCATCCAACGGGAATTTAATTGTATGTATTAATTTATCTAATTCATACTCATATATTACTTTCGACTTGAATCGAAAATGATGATATCGTGAACTACGAATTTTGTATAACTTCAAACTGGAAATTAGGCTGTTTCGCGCAAACTGGTACATTCGTTATTATACAGAAGCTCCGAAAAATCCATTGATCTGCTTACGAAACTTTAATACTAACTTTGTATTTCAAAGTCATGCAACACGAGAAATCGCTTTTCAGATACAAATCTCGAATTGCTAAAAAATAATGGGAGTTTTCAAATATACAATTCCATTTAATTATTATACAGGAATATTGAGAACACTCGAAATTAACGCAACGAAATGCGAAACGGTTTTGATCCAAATATGATATACGGATTGCCGATCGCGAAACGTCCTTAAGCAACCAATTGATAAGATTCTATGCTATACGATTATAGTTGTTACAGACTGAAACGTTAACAGTGCACTAAAACGATAATGTATACTTAAGTATAAGTAAACACGTTCGCAAAATTTATTAATTATTAATACCATATTAAAAAAAAATATTGTTAGTTCAGCGACATTTTTACGAGTGTTACTTATGAACATATTTCAATCTCTATATTGCTCTGAGCGATTCTGCAAAGCGCATTCGGAGAATGCGGAAAATAATGTTCAGTAAAAGAAGGCCATAAACAAGGTCTGTTCTTTTTAGCTGCACTTTCTTACATTGTTTGCATTTGACACAAAATAAATGACGCAAAGTTCTAAAGAAAACTGTAGGAAGCTGCAAAAAAGGAAGCTAAAGAGGATATACCTATATTATAAACGTCCATGATGATTCTAGAAGAGAGAAACTTTTTAAGACTCTTTATAATATATATATTTATTTCGCCAATTTTTGTTACTCTGCGAATAATTTAAAAAAATATATCAATCGTGATAATTATTGTTAATTCTCATTAGCTATTTATTTATTTATTTATTTATTTGTTTGATTGTGTTAATTTATACTAGATTGTCATGGATCAATAAATAAGTGTACATAGAATGTTAATTATATGAATTATTATTGATGTTATTTAATAAAAATTCTTTATAAAAAGTAGAAAAAATGTATTCATTAATGTATATTATTGTACTATCTGTCTTAAAAACACAACAGTCGCTTAATTCCGTGATTTTAATTCTCAGCTGTCTGCGTTATGTTCTAACTCAATATGTAGAAAATTCGTTAAAAATTCGTTCCACTTTAAAGACAAACTTATATCGTTCAGAAATATTGTTGTTATTTAATCATTTATTGACTAAGACATTTTTCACATACTTAAAGTTTGTTTACATAGCACCAGAACTTTTTATCAAACATTACAGTTTAGTATTTGGCAATATTTCGAAATGGTAAGATCAGTTACGTTGATCTATTCGAAGTATTGATAATTCGTTGCTTTGATATAGGAAATTACAGTTATAATTATTATTGCAAATGCATCATCGTTTGTATTCTTATCGGCACGCAAGTTCAATATAAAAGGTAAGTAATAAAAAATATAATACTTAAATATATATATATTTTTTGGAAAATATGAAAAATATACATGATTTACTAGATACACCTATATATAATTTTTTCACGTTATCGTTTACATGTTTTACATTGTAAGCGCTAACGCGTTTTAGGAAAAGTTATTCAAAATTAATCATATATTTTTTACTTCTGTTTCGAATATAAAAATTAAAATTAAATTAAGATAATCCTGTGCTGAATATTTGTATCTTGTTTATTTTCTGACAAAAAGGACACGTGCAGATATCTGCGACAATAAGTGGCATTGACATGGCACTGTTATTAAAGCTGTTATTAAATAGCGGTCTGATATTCTTCGCGACCGCTGTTATGAAAGTTGATGTTGGCGAACATTGGCAAAACGATGAAATCAGTTACCATTTATCAGAATTTATAGAACCGTCGCATTATGATGTCAATATAATATTCCATAACGAAAGCAATAGCTTCCATGGCAAATCCAACATTAACTTCTATCTTCTACGTAACACGTCGAGCATATATTTGCAATCAAAGAATTTGTATGTAGATAGTTCGACTATATTGATTAATCAAATAACGAGGGAAGTTTATGCACCATCGGAAACTTTTTATTATCTTACATCGCAAATTTGTATGTTTTATTTTGATGATGAAATACAAACTGGACCTTACATTCTCAATCTGAACTTTACTGGTGATATATATAATCACGACAATTCTAATGGCATATTCAAAATTACATACACAACAGACGATAAACAAAATCATAAGTGAGTAAATGTTAAAATATTAAAAGCCACGGTTTTATAAGAAAAACATTATAATATAATTATGTTATATTCGATATAATGTAATTATATTATCTTTCTTACATAAATCGCAGCTTAATAGCCTAATATTTTTATGCCAATAATGACTGAAAATTCAACATTTAAAATGTTAACTAAATGTTATTAAAATGTGATAGGTTGTTCGCAGCAGGCGACTTTCAGCAAACTACCGGATTACGATGGATAATAATTCCATGTTGGGATGAGCTAATATTTAAAACCACGTTTAACATCTCCGTTTACCATCCTAAAAATAGCATTGCTATATCAAATATGCCGATAAAAAGCGAGGAGTATATTGGTGCTAATATGTTGTGGACGCATTTTCAAACTACTCTCTCAATGTCCACTTATCACGTGGCAATTACGGTGTCCGATTTGATCCAATTTTCTCTTAACATTAAACACATTCAAATGTGGTGCAGAACTGCTGATGTTGGGACATTTTACTGAAGCACAACACCGTATCACAGTCTTTCATTCTATTATTGCACGACATGCGAGAAATAAATTGGTGCTCGATTATATCATGCTAAATTTTCGAGACATAGTTCCTAGGTAACAATATTCTTTTCATAAACGCACATTGCTTAAAATCATAAAAATTTGTTATGTGTATGAATTGTTATTATTTCGTTTTTACAGAGAGATCGACACATTTGTAGCGTTAACAGACATTATTAATCATCTGTATTCTGCAGATCAATTTAGCAAGGTAAATTGTATGAATGTATATATTAACATACATTTTTGATTGTGCTGAAAACATAATATTACTAAGGCTACGGTCAAGGTGACGCTACAAATGCTTTGAAGCGTCCTTCTTTTCTTTCTTTCAAAGAAGAAAGAAAGAGAAGAAAAACGGTTCAAAGAATTTGTAGCGTCACTTTGACCGTAGCCTAAATTCCAAATACATGTAAATATAAACCAATTCCTTTTCCACGGTATCTTTTCATCCTTCTTCAATCTTCCTTCTTGTATTTCTGCTCTCTTTCTCAATTTCTCATGATATTTTTATTTCTATTTTCTTCTTTGATGTTTCCTCTGCATTCTCTCTTTTCTTCTTCCTTTCTCTCTTCTCTTCTCCTTTTTTTAAGGTTCCTATATTAATTCTCTATTCACATTTTCATGTTTTCCTGATCCTTTTTCGATGGCTATTTTATTTTCTCTTTTTCGATCCTTTATAAAAAAATATTTTCCAAATTTCTTCTTTACTCATTTCTTCTTTTCACTATTTTGTCTCATGTTTTTTCTACGTATTGTAGAAAAATTCGTCTTTCGCCTTCCAAAATTTTCCCTCTTCTTTTCGTCTCCTGGATGAATATTATAATATCAATAAATATTGTCTCTCATACACAACAAGAATAATGTAGTAATAATATATGGTGATGTAATCTATTTCAGGTACAAGACTACGTACAAAATAATTTCTCTAATAAAATGTTTTCCTATATTATCCAAAAGATAAATATACGATCGTCAGAACCACTAAACACGTTGGCTATTTCAAGAGCTTTTTAAAAACGGAGTAAATTAATGTTTAAGAATATTATGTACTTATCTATATGTAATATCCTGTATTCTATTATTATATAAATATATTTTTATGTTTTATTTTATTCTTTTTTCAGTTATGCCTTTTTATATTAGTAATTTTTCCTCACTATCGGTCTTTAATAATATCTTCACGATAGCACAATATATAGCTATTAAAACTTATTAATCGGACGCGTAATTTTTCGGAAAAATTATCTTGGATATAATAACTGTAATATATTTCATTCAAATGTGTCATTATTTTATTTAGCTTATTAACTAGAACATCCACGGCCTTATAGTCATGTTTGTTTTGTTACATACGACCTTACAGTATGTTCTCAACCCCCGTATTTAATACCGGCTATTGATATCGTCGTCAGTATTCGGTGAACTCTCGACGTGTAAAGTTGTGGACTGCAAGAATATATTTCTACTCCTGACAGTGGTAATTGTTCAACGGTAAATTAATTGCTACTAAAAAAATTATATCTCAATCACAATTCTAATATACAAAGTAAATGATACAAAACATCTGTAGCTCGGTTTGAAAATGAATGTAAAATAAAACATATTTATAATAATTAAAAGTGCTAATACAGTGCTGTATCTTTATTTCGTAGTTCTAGAAAAATAAATTTATAAATGTATTTTTCAATAAAATACACTTTTTTTAAATAATATAAAAATAAGTCTGAATTTAAAAAATAAAAATAAAAATATAAATCATAATAAGAATGAGCAATACAATTTGACAAAAGCTCGCATTAAGTTCTCGCATTTTGTAATTTGGCTAAAAGTAAGGATTATAATTAAGGATTATAATTAAAGTGTTCTATTATAATTACACTGTAATTCACAGACGTCTATGTATATAATTCGTATTGGATTTTTTATTTTTATTTAGATTTTATTCAAGTTTATTCATTTACCTATCGTAACCGACACAAATTCCAAATATGTGTCATATCATTGTGGAGTAATCTTAAACTCAAAAGAAATTATAAAATGTCACATAAA